CGCATCATAAAAGGGGGCAGGGCTATCGTGGCCGGCGTGAAAACCACTGGAGAATGAAGAGGGATGCTGGAGAGGATCCTTCTCCTCCTGTAAGAGGTGAGTACCATGGGCGACTTCCTTGGTCACCACAGAAGGCACCCTGACAACTTGTACATTTTAAGGGTTTTAGTTGTTTGTCTCAATGGGCAGAAGTTTAAGGTTTGTGGCATTTGAGATCATGACCACTACAGTTCATTCTATAACTCATTGAGGGGTTACAATGCATACAAGTCATTCAGTGCCATGCCAACATATTTTGTAAAAAAAAAAAATTCAAGCAGTTGATGAAATGCAGAACTTCCCTTTTACCCAAAGCCTTATGCCTTGTCTACTACTCAGAAAATGTGGACGTTAAATTTTCTTCAAACTGTGGATGGAAGTGCTGGGCTTTGAACACTTGACTAAGACACCCAGAGAGCCCCCATCCTATCAGTGGTGCCCAATCAAGACTAGATAATATCGAAGTGAAAACGTTGCATTATCTGAGAATCAGATGATGAACTGGGAGTGTCACTTTTTTGGATGTGCCATACCTACTAAAGTGAGCATTTAAACTATTTTGTTTTGCGGGTATTTTTATACAGAAAATTAGGTTAGACACTTCACCCATGTCCGAATATATTTAGATTTATGTGGACTAGGGTCTCAGCTTTGTAGGTAAAATAAGAAATTGAATCAAAGGGGAACTGGGCATTGACACTCGGAAATCACATCATTGCTCGGATAATTAGGCTCGTTATTGCACTTAGAAGTGTTTAAGCTATAGCACTTCTCATCAGAAAAATCAGAAATTTTATAGAAGAGGGAAGTAGATTAATTAGCTGTTAAATAGCAGAGATACTGGAGAGAGGAGAAGACATATTTCACATGCTTAGCTGTTAAATCCTTCTGTCACCATTTCATATGCTACCTTCCTGGAGAAATAGTTGCACTTTTGATTTGCTTCGTTATTTTTTCCCTTTGGGTGACACTGATGCTTCCTGGCAGTTTAAGATAAAAAGTGTATGATTTTGTAGTACCTTATTGCTCTGAAAGGCTGGTCAATGGGGGCAGGTGGGACAGGAGCCCCATCTAATTATTATATTTTGAAAACAAAAACATATACTATTGACTAATGATGTGTGTGTGTTAGGAAAAAGCATGGTCATGATAGTTCTGCAGTTTTTCTTAACCTTATTGAAGGCTGGAGATATAATTGAGATCCTGTACAAAAAGTCACATCTCGATTTTCAGGTATTTTTGAAAATCCTAGCTATTCCCTGGATACAAATCCATCGTACATGCTTAGATTGCTCTAACAGGATTTACGAATTCACCCAAACTCTGCCGTCACAAAAACGTCCTTACTGTAGCCTCTAATTTGTAACTCTAAAATGTTTATGTTGTTTCAAAAATAATACTCTCCTAGTATAAGAGTTATTCAAAAGAACGTTTGCTGTGAAAAAAATATTAGCTCACGGTTGGTTAAAGGATAGAGTTCCCTCGAATAATATGATTTTACTTAAAATAAACAAAACTTACCTTATGGATAAATTAACCATGCAAATAAGAACAACTATGGCATAATTTCCTAGGTATTGGGAGCTCTGTGAAGAGAGTCCTGGGTATTGAACCTAGTTTCTTAAATTGTAAGGTTCTCTTTTTGTCTGGCTCAGTGGAGAGCATACCTTTCCTTTTCCCCTTATCCCTCTCTTTCTCTCTCTCTGTCTCTCTCGTTTTATCTTTTATAAAGGGACTCTTCATTCATATGTTTTATTAATAAAATACAGTGCAGAATGTCATGTATACAATTTACCATATTTAATCGACTTTGTTTATTGCCTTCACAGCAGTCTTTGTAACATATTCTGCAAATAAATTATTCTATATTAATATAATATATTATAGTCTATTTTAATAAATGCATCATTTAATAAATGTGACTGAGAAAGGAATCTTTTTAAGATGCTCTAAAAACATTTTTAAATGATGCATATATTACAGTATATATGGTATATATAATTCCTTTTTTTGCAGAATATGTTACAAAGACTGTTGTCAAGATGATACATATATAAAGAATACAAAATTATGAAAGTATATACTTATTAACAAACTACAATTCACTGTAATGAGTTCAGAACCTTTTTAAAAGTATGCATATAAATAAGTGTGTTTGACAAAGAAATATATTTTATCGGATCTGTAGGTGGTTTCGAAATTGTGTGAAAAGCAATACTCAACTTTTTTAAGCATCAAATGAAATAAATAGTTAATAAATAGATGTACATATATATTTCTTTGTATGATTAATTGATATTCCATTTATGTAATCATTTATAGAATCTTTCAAAGGGTCACATAAATACAGTCATGAAAACTATCTTCTTTTCTATAATAATGGCTCTCCCAAGTTTTAATAATGTTAGACCAGAATGGACCAATTTCTTCCAAAAGGCTTACTGCACACACTATATCACCAAATTGTTAGTTTTACTTATACTGTGTCATTATATCACTGTTAAAATACCATTGATGTACTTTAGAAAAAAAATCAGCATAATTGTCTTCAGATTGCCAATCTCCATGAAAGATTTTAACAGAGCCAGGTTGAAAAGTAAAGCCTCATTTACACCTGATATAAAGGATCATTAGTTACACGAATGATTTCACAGAACAGGAAACTAAAATACTCACCAATCCTCTACAGGCATTATCTGCCTAAAGGGATTTTTAAACTTTGCTTAGTAGGGCAATGAATTCTTGCTAACAAAGCTGCCCAAAAAAAGATGTCTCCATTTATCTCAATTGAAAAGCTCTAGCAATTAAGTGTTTATCTGTGAATTGTTGAGCTGAAAGCAGGGGAGATGGACAGGTTCCAGTGCTAGCACAGCATCCGCGAAAGTGCTTGAAGTTGTTTTTCTATATTCAAAATATGAGAGCTAAAAGGACAAGGAAACTCATTTGAAGTTAGTAACAACAAGAGTTTATGTTTTTGTTTGAGTTCAGTTTGAATGAAGCTACCTGAATGAAGCTTTACTCATGGATGTTGTTAATGGGGGCGTCAGGGGCCAAATCTATCCGTAATTTTAAGTTGGGGAATGAGAGGGGTAAGAGAAGGAAAGTTCATGGTTTAACGTAAGCCATCTAAGAGGTACGTATTTTTTATGTAAGGCTGTCCACCCTCGATTTTCTTTGGTCCCTATGCTCATTATTGAACTTACCTAGCAGGTTACCTGAGACAGGAAGATGTCTGTATTATCAAAGTTTTAGTCCAGAGAGAATATCACTGTCTTGGCTCATTAATACAAAATACAAATATGTTTTAACTAAATAAAAAAAATATTTTTCAAACTGTATTCATATGTATTGGATTCATTATTTGCAAAGACATTTGTCTGAATGTAGAAAAATAATGAAGGAAATGCATTATTGTATTTTTTTTTTAGTAATTCAACCATTTAACCATTTGGTTTAATGGCTTAACCATTTTTTGCAAAAATAGAACATATTTCACGACGTCCGAATTTCAGCCATATGACGGCTCAGCTCAGCAGAATTTCAGTACCAGAAAACTGATCCATGAATCAAATCAGATAAATTAAAAGGGTGCAAAAATAGCCACCCAATGTGCTGCAAAATATATACTTAACATATCATGTATTGCAGAATCACTGAAGTAGGTTGTATTGTATGATGTGTCACAACGGAATAATTCACGTCGATGTATCTAATGTTGTCCTGAATACTCTTTTACCTAGTGACTGGATCCCTGGGTAATCCATCCTGGGGATAAAACATCAACATTGTTTGGAACAAAAACCTCCTATAACCATAACTTTCTTTTAAGACAACTGTAAAGTTATTTGAAGGTTTAGCACTCACTGATATATTCACTGAATGTTTTCTTATTGTGATCTTTAAATATAAATCATAATAATGGTGACAGAAAGCTTTTAAATCCTCCGGTGGTTATTTCATACTATACAATTCAAGGTCTTAACTTTGAAAAAGGCTAACCTAAGTGCAAATATAAAATAAAAGAGAAGAACACACAAATATCTGTTCAAATTGATCCGGATAGTGAAAATTTAGTATGGAGAGTAAAACAGAAGTCTGAATGATGGACCATTTCTATATTAATGTACGGAGTAGAATAGGTCATATGTAACAAAGATAACAATGCATTTCGATTATATTTTTTATTTATATTTTTTCTTGACTGCATCAATCACTGTATGATAAAAAAGTCTATTATTTGTAGTAAGATAAAAAAAAAAACATAACTTGTTAAAATATTGGTCACTAAAGAAGCTAAACTACCCAACGCATTTCCTTTTACAATTGATCTTTGTAGAACGCAAAATCTATTTGATTAAGTTAAATTGAAATTATATGTAGAGATTGTTGGCATATTAACATATATCATAGAAGGGTTAACACTTAAAAACAATACAAAATATTGTGAAAAAAGTTATGAAAATATTTGGTTTCAGCCTCTTTTAATAATATATATAATAGAGTGACATAAGAGGTTTTTGTTAAACTAACAAATAAAAGGTTTATTTATACCATGTTACTGAATTAATGCCTGATATAATGTTTTAGCTGATAGAATTTTCCCAATTATCTTCTTACATCAAAATATGGCAACTATGTAGATATCTTATCACCACATAGAAACAATATGGCATGATATGTTGTATAAGTCTTATAGAGGTTGCATGTTTTTATTTGTTAGCTTGCTCGGTTAATAGAAATGTAGAGATTAAAAAAGTTTAGCAAAATGAAGTAGGTAAATGTAAGTTGACAAATCAAAAAAGCTGGTGACTGGAAATAAAGTGTTTATTATTGTATATTATAAATGTAAACAATTTATGATTTATCATAGCGGTGGGCAGAGTCAGGTTTTTTTAATTAAACTAATTCAGGATTATTCACTAAACAGGAAATTGTTTGGAAATCGACAAGAAGTTTAGCTTTTAGGGAAAAGTTCCAGTATTCAGTTCAGCTACGTCAAGAGATTGCCCATTATCAGGAGTCCCTCCTATATCAGGAGTCTGTCCTATATCAGGAGTCTGACCTATATCCAGAGTCTGTCCTATATCCGGAGTATTACCTATATCATCAGTCTGTCCTATATCAGGAGTCTGTCCTATATCAGGAGTCCATCCTATATCAGAAGTCTGTCCTATATCAGGAGTCTGACCTATATCCAGAGTCTGTCCTATATCAGGAGTCCATCCTATATCAGGAGTCTGTCCTATATCAGGAGTCTGACCTATATCCAGAGTCTGTCCTATATCCGGAGTATTACCTATATCATCAGTCTGTCCTATATCAGGAGTCTGTCCTATATCAGGAGTCCATCCTATATCAGAAGTCTGTCCTATATCAGGAGTCTGACCTATATCCAGAGTCTGTCCTATATCAGGAGTCCATCCTATATCAGGAGTCTGTCCTATATCAGGAGTCTGACCTATATCCAGAGTCTGTCCTATATCCGGAGTATTACCTATATCATCAGTCTGTCCTATATCAGGAGTCTGTCCTATATCAGGAGTCCATCCTATATCAGAAGTCTGTTCTATATCAGGAGTCTGTTTTATATCAGGAGTCTGTCCTATATCAAGAGTCTGTCCTATATCAGGAGTCCATCCTATATCAGGAGTCCTTCCTATAAAAGGAGTATGACCAATATCAGGAGTCAGTCCTGTATCAGGAGTGTGTCCTATTTCAGGAGTCCGTCCTATATCAGGAGATTGTCCTATATCAGGAGTCCATCCTATATCAGGATTCTGACCTATATCAGGAGTCTGTCCTATATCAGGAGATTGTCCTATATCAGGAGTCCATCCTATATCAGGATTCTGACCTATATCAGGAGATCGTCCTATATCAGGAGAATGTCCTATATCAGGAGAATGTCCTATATCAGGATTTTCTATTATATCTGGAGCCGTCCTATATCAGGAGTCTGTCCTATATCAGGAGTCCATCCTATATCAGGATTCTGACCTATATCAGGAGTCTGTCCTATATCAGGAGATTGTCCTATATCAGGAGTCCATCCTATATCAGGAGTCCATCCTATAACAGGAGTCCGACCAATATCAGGAGTCTGTCCTATATCAGGAGATTGTCCTATATCAGAAGTCTGTCCTATATCAGGAGTTCTTCCTATAAAAGGAGATTGTCCTATATCAGGAGTTCTTCCTATATTAGGAGTCTGTCCTATATGAGGAGTCCATCCTATATCAGGATTCTGTCCCATATCAGGAGATTGTCCTGTATCAGAAGTCTGTCCTATATCAGGAGTTCTTCCTATAAAAGGAGATTGTCCTATATCAGGTGTTCTTCCTATATTAGGAGTCTGTCCTATATGAGGAGTCCATCCTATATCAGGATTCTGTCCCATATCAGGAGATTGTCCTGTATCAGAAGTCTGTCCTATATCAGGAGTTCTTCCTATAAAAGGAGATTGTCCTATATCAGGAGTTCTTCCTATATTAGGAGTCTGTCCTATATGAGGAGTCCATCCTATATCAGGATTCTGTCCTATATCAGGAGATTGTCCTATATGAGAAGTCTGTCCTTTATCAGGAGTCCTTCCTATAAAAGGAGATTGTCCTATATCAGGAGTCCGTTCTATATTAGGAGTCTGTCCTATATCAGAAGTCTGTCCTATATCAGGAGTCCTTTCTATAAAAGGAGATTGTCCTATATCAGGAGTCCGTTCTATATTAGGAGTCTGTCCTATATCAGGAGATTGTCCTATATCAGGAGTCTGAGCTATATCAGGAGTCTGTCATATATCAGGAGTCCGTCCTATTAAAGGAGATTGTCCCATATCAAGAGTCTGTCATATAACAGGAGTCTGTCCTATATCAGGAGTCTGACCTATATCAGGAGTCCGTCCTATATCAGGAGTCAATGCTATATCAGGAGTCTGCCCTATATCAGGAGTTCATCATACATGAATAGTCTGTCTTATATCAGTAATCAGACTTGAAAAATGCTCAGTGTAGATGCAACTTATTTTATTTTGCACTCGAAATAAAGACTGCCTATCAAAGAAACCCCCAGGTGTGTTCAGATCACTTTTTTCATTAATATATTTTGTATTGATCATTGGTCTACCCTGTTTGGAGCACCCTGCTGAAAGTATTCCCAGGATCCTGGAGGTATTCCCAGGATAATTAGTGTGTGCAAGGCTCTCTTAATCTTTACAATTACATCAGTTATCGATCCTTAATCATGTTTGATTCTACATAAAGGAATCTATTGTATAATAAACAATCTGTTCTGCATGAAAAATCTGTCTTAAATCAGGAGTTTGCTCTTAACCATGAATCTATCCTACATAAACAGCACATAATACGGCTGTCCGACATCAATAGAATGTCGTATAAGTGGGTTTGTAAGCGCTAAGCTTTATTAAGGAGATGCTGTTTGTAAATTCTCACTCTGACCTTAACGCTGACATAATAACAGAGTGTCCAAGTCTTTGCATAAAAAAAATGAATGGTTAATGCTTTCATAATACATAGCTGAAAGGATTGCAGAGCTATGCGTGGCAAGGACACTGGATAATATGAAAGCTATTAGTTTCAAATTGATAAACAACAGAGAATATACAGCTACCAATTCCACCTTACATGCCCCATGTTACCTTTCTGTAGCTATCTGACCTGCAATTCAAATCTGTAGGTAGCACTCAGACTGCAGTGCAATTGTTATCAGTGATAATAATAAAATATTATTTTTTAAAGGTGCGACTGACTACATCGATGGCTCTGCATTATGACTGCTCTGTAAAATAGGGGATATTGTCAATGTATTTCTGTGAGGAGTTCATATATACAAATGCTCATAACACAAATGCTCATTAAAAACCCAAAGCAATGAATGGAACGCCAGGCATAGGCTAAGAGATCTCAGCTTATTCCTGGTTTATGATAAATTTAAAAGGAGGCTGATTAGAGTCCAGTTTAAACCTCAAGATGTAGGGAGATTTTCAAAGTATCTGTTTTTCTACTCTTGTTTGGGTGTTTGTTACATAGTTCCCTTTTTCAAAGTGCTTTACAAAGTCAATCAATATTTATTGATTATTAGCACATGAGCTATCAATCTAGACAATATAATAGTGATTAACCCCTTAAGGACACAGCTTCAAAAACTGGACTTACCCTTAAGGACACAAGCCATTTTTGCATATTTTGCTGTTTGTGTTCAAACGCAATTTGCATCTCTGTCATTTATTGCACCAACACATATTATATACCAAATTTTAGAGGGCAAAAGGGGCTTTAATTTGATGTCACATATACATAGATACATTCTCATTAATGATAAAACAAATGCCAGAAAATGGGGGGGTGGGGGAAGGGACCCAAGAAACTATTTTTTTTCACAGTTTTGGCAATAATAGCGTGTGCATAATATGTCCAGCTTAGAAACAGTAATTCATAATAAATTCATTTATGTGTCTTGATTTATAGAGTACATAATATGTATAGGATGCCAGCTTAATTTGAAAGTTACAGGTCACAAAATAAAAGGACTAAAATAAAATGTCAATGTGAAACAGTTTTAGAAGGTGGTATGCTTATCTTGTAGGTTTAGTAGCCATCACAGAAAACAAAATTGCCACATGAAAGTAGACATCACAGGCTATTTACCTAAGGTTATTTTGACACTCTTTACATTTTATCGCCAATCTCTGCTAAATATTGGAGTAAAATTGTGTTTTTTTCTTTATTTCACAGTGCACAGTGTATTTTGCAGTGCACAGTGTATTTTGCAAACCTTATGTGTGCTATGGCTGTATAATATTTCATATGTTGCTATGCAGACATATCGTCTGAGTACAACAATACCCCCATATGTACCTTCGCCTGGTATATGTGGATGTTGAAGGGGCACATATGAGACACAGCCATTCAGTTTTTTTCTAACTTTGAAGTTTTATGTTGTGTCCATGTTCCATTTTGGAGTAGTTTAGCTGGTTGGTTATTCAAACTTCCCCACAAACGCATACAATTTTTTAAAGAGTACACCCTGGGGTATTTCAAAAGGCATATTTTAAACCTTAGCGTGGAATAATTTTTTCGCTAGTTTGTTCCAGGTGTAGTGGTAATGAGCATTTTTAATGTATTTTTTTTACTCTTTTAAACTTTTTAAAACTTGTTTTTAAACTTTTTTTTACTTATTACATTTTTGTAACTTTTTAAAACTTTCTTAAAACTTTTTTCCACTTTCAAATTTGTATAAACTTTTTTTACCATTAACCCCTAAGTAGCAGTAAGCAGCACTTACAGTAAATTCCCCAATTTCCCATAACTCTCACCCACCCCAGCTAGCAAAATATATAATTTAAAAATATTCAAATTAATTAATTAAATAAATTGAAAACCTGAGGTTAAAAAAAATAAATAAAAGTAAAAAAAAAATCAGATCAAAGTATAATACTGTGATCTGTATATTGATCACTGTAGGCAGTGATCAAATGGCAGGGAAGGGGTTTTATTTTTATTAGGATTGGGTAAAGGGGGGTGGGATTTTTTCTACTTTTTGAAAACGTTATTAAAACATTTTCTTTTAATTTTTTTAAACTTTTTAAAGCTTTAAAAAAAAAAAAAATTGTAACACTATTTCTTAGCTAGCCGAACACCAAATTCCCCAATCCCCCACTAACTTCCTCCCACCCCAACTAGCTAAATATATAATTTTAAAATATGTAAATTGATTAATAAAATTAATGTAACCCCTGAGGGTTAAAAAATAAATAAAACAACCCTTATTTTTTTTTCTACAGGGAGAAGATCACTGCTGATCTGTCTCCCTGCACTTCACACTGAATGCGGAAGCACAGGGAAGCAGACCAGGAGTCCCTGCAGCCTGTCAGAACAATCACAGCTACAGGGACAGCGCGATCGGGTGTGAATACCAAGGCAGACTGGAGGAGATTTAACCCCATGATCATGATGATTGCCTCAATCGTGGCGATCTGGCGTTAACTTTAGTAAGTGACGGAAATTTTCCGTCATGCATCCTTATCAGTAGGTCTGCATTGTTAAGTGGTTAAGTAATGTGTTTTTTTGTTGTTGTATTTTTTTTTTTTGTGTGCATTTTCTCTATTACTCATTGTATAATATTATTAACATGTAATAAATGCACCTGAATATATCCCTTTAAATCAGCATCCATGTCTAAGCTTGTTTTCCTTTCTTGCCAGAGTACTTGCTTCTTTCTTATTTTATATAATTATTCACCTCTTAACACCATCAGCCAATATATTTTACCTCCTTCTCTGGGCTTTTTCACACCCATCCCCGCCATATCTTCTCATTAGAATTGCAGGTTTGTATTATGGACAGGAGTGGTGACATAATACATTTCTCCACTCCTGACTGCTACTGTACTTAGAAGATGCAGTCTCCCAGGAAGTCTTATGATCCAGTGAATTCTGTATAAAGAACATTACAATATTCTACGCAGGGCTGTTTTTTTTTTTTGTTCTGAGCTTTTATCTGAAACTGACAAGATTCACTGCTACCCTGCTGCGCTTTTTTTTTTTAACATACAGGAGGACACTTCAAACAGCGTGGAGAGCTGACAAAAGATAAAATAATATCACAAAATTGGAAAAATACAGAAGTATCCTATTTTGTTGCTTTAATGTCGATGTCCTTTTCGATGTACTTACGTTGCACCACTTTGGAATATTTTTACTTCATTTTGCTTGAGTATGTTACAAATGTTGTTAATATATAACAAGTATAATCTCAGGCATAACTGCAAGACGCAAACGTTATTAAATAATTTAATGATAAGAAAATTCTTAGAAAACAAGTCTGTCTGTCTATCTATGGGTTATTTACTAAAAAGTAAATTGTGCTGAATAATCATGAAACAAAAGACCAAACTAGTAGTTTTTATCCTAAATAGAACTAGTTGTTAAATCATTGTCTCTGATAACATAATAGATCACAGTTAGTGGCACCTATAACCTTTTTTTGCACTCAGTTTGTATTTGAGAATAGACTGAAATCACTATATATATTGAGCTAATGATAAGCCAGTGAGAGCAACTATTAATGTGCCTTCCTTATAATCCTCTTATAGGGCTAAAGCTGTAGGATTATTTTTTTTAAATAGTGATTTGTGGGGAATTGAAAGAGATAAAAATAGACAAACTTTGAGTATTATAATTTGCAGCGTTTAATTGGAGTAGTATTACCATAATGTAATTCATCATTTGTAATGTGTGTTTTGTGCCAAAAAACATACCTGTCATGATGCATCTGTGCCAATTCAGCTACGGTCCCGGAGCTCTGGTTACATTTTAGGTGCATTGATGTTAAAAAAGGGAGCGGAGATCCAAAATTGACACAGCCATATGAATTTCCACCAGCTCCAATTTCAAATTGAGTTAAATTGTGTCAATTCCACCACAAACAAAATTGATTACATTTAGATGCAGCCATGTCAATTTCTAATACACGGCCATCTGAGATGCAGCATTATTCCACTATGTTGTACTTGCATTATTCTGAATTAAACCCAACCTATATGACGTGATCCATGACCTTTGTGCTTTTTATATGCTAATTAGCTGGCATCCTGTTTCTGATGGTCTGCGCATGAACGAATGAGGGCTTGGACCTTAATTTATTTGTGCATTTCCATGGTCCAGTGCTCTTTCATGGTTTCAGAGCCCTTGATCAAGTTATTCTGTTCCTGAGTTTTCTTTACTGACCCGGCTTCGTTTATTGACCATGTTGTATCCTGTTCTGATTTCTG